TGTAGTGACCTGTCCTTACACTCCTACTCGCTATTAATTTTTGTGAGGCAGTGTTCCACATAATAGTATTGTATGTGGCCTGCCCAATCATGCAGTTTCATATAGCTACTGATAGTCATTGGAGTATACATCAAAGCCATGTAGACTTTCATATGACTGGTAGTTGAAATGGAAACAAGCATATACTATGTTACAATATTTATATGGAGTATACAGTGGAGAATACTGCTCTTGTGCCATATGTGATTATAAAATTGCTTTAATTATCAATATTCTTGCTAGAATTCGAAGAACTACTGCAGGCATAATATTTGCATTAAGGTTTTTAAGGCCCCCCTGCACCTATTCAGGATATATCAACTGCTACCTTTAAAAGGTTTATGGAACCTACAGGGCAGCATGTGACAATGTTTTAGCTGCGGTAACTTGAAGAGAAAACTGGTGTGAGTGCATAGGCATATTTAAAATCTGACTGCAGGATGGAAGTCTTATTACACACACTTTCTGAGTGTGATATGCTGTAGTTTAAACATCCATGCAGTTAATGTGCTCTGGTTTTTTGTAAATCAGTTTTCATTTCTTTAGGACTTTCATTTGACCTTGTTAGCGGAAGCATCAGAAAATTTACACCATTAAGATGTCTATCTGGAATAAGGCTGAGCATCCACAGTGCTTTGCCTGTGGCTTCCATCATCCCATTTGTAGCCCACCAACATCCTAAGATTGTGTCACTGAAATTCAGTGGCAAAATAGCCAACTGGGATCATTTTAAGGTGGCAGTGGGAGCAGTTTACCTCTGAAAAGCCTTCTGCTCCTCTCCACTCCCACAAAGGCCACATCAGCCTGTTTTTCAGGTTTTGGTGAGGAGAGGCTTCCCACTCCCTTTCCCACCCTTAAAATCCAAACCCATCAAAACTTCTCAGCTCCGTCCTTCCAGTAACATCATAGCATCACGGAATAGCTTCTTGCAGCTCTTTGGAACATTGCATCCCACTGTTTTGCTAAATATTTTACCACAGTAAATTGTGGGCACAGATTTTACAATTCAGAAGCAATGAACTCTCAAATGAGGTGAAAGCCAGAGATAACTTATTGAATAAGCCCAGGCAAATAACAAAATTTTTAAGCAGAATGTGTTAAATGTAATTGATTCAGAGCAAAAGATGAAATCTTAACCCCTTCCACTGTCAGAAACCTCTTCTTCTCCAGCTCAGAGAATGACAGCAGGCAAGTCCCTTCAATGCCAGTGGGTATGCAAGACTGTCCTAGAATCCAGTTTGCACTGAGATTCCATCTCTGAGAAAGTTCTCAAACTTTTAATGATATACCATTACAGTTATTCTAATTAGACATTTCTGTTGCTTACATTTATTTATCAGCAGTCAAAAATGTTTGCAGAGTCAGTGCCAGTTCACACGTTCAGACCCTTCCTCCTTTCTGCAGGTGGCTGGCTTTGAAGCATATCTGGCCTGTATTTGTGCTGGGAAATCAAATGTAATTAGAGAGCCAGCTAATGAGAAAATGGAGAACACGCAGTTACTTTAAACAAATCTAAGGCTTAAAAGAGGCTTTATCATGGGAAAAACTTGGTATACGCTACTACACTCCCTTGCTGGGACAAATATTTTCTGCAATAGCACCATATCCTCAAACATTGCACATCCCAGGGGTATAGCATTGTCAGGAATCATTTGAGGGCAGTTCCTTTAATTAACGTAGAAGATAATTTGTGGAAAGATCATTCTTATTTCTTACTTGGCACTTTAAATGTTGAAGTGAGTTTGCGGAAAAAGCTAATTCAGTTTAAATTTCTTTTAGAGCAACCATAGATACAGCGGTACCTCGGGTTACGAATGCCTCTGTTAACAAACTTTTCGGGTTACGACCAGCTCCGGCCACAAAAATTTACCTTGGTTTGTGAACTCCACCTCGGGGTACGAACAGGATACGTGGCCATTTTCCCTCCCGTGACACAGTCCACGGCCATTTTTCCGCCCCTGACACATGGTCCGCGGCCATTTTTCCGCCCCTGACACATGGTCCGC